CGGTATATGCAGCAGCTCAACCACATAGTTGCCACCAATTGTCTCAATGATGAGGAGCTGGAACAGCTGATGCCGGAGTGAACTTGCTGCCAGACAAGCTGTGCTCTCTCTCGTTAAGGTGCCTGAAGTCCCAAAGGAGAATTTTGTTGGACTTTGGTCTGCTGAAAACAAATCAGTGGCTCATGTGTTCTATTTATTCTATTTATTGGGGGTGTCTGGTTTTTGACTGTGAAGTGAAGCAATCAGAGCAATCTTTTGAGTGTCCTAAGAGAGAATTCAGCTACCTCTCCTGGAAGTTTGTTCTCGTCCAGAGATTTTCTTAAGCAGATTGACAAAGGTCAATGTCTGGATTATGCCTTTCTTCTGTGGACAGGTTAGTATAGATGGTTTGGAACCTGCTAAAATATCCCTAGCCAATATTTCCGGGGTTCTCCAGTTGAGCCAACTGAGAGTGATCTCCAAGTGGCCAGAAAAGGTTTTTAAAAATGCTGCTTAAGGGCAGGTGCAGAAGTTCTTTAGCATGGCTTTGGCATTCCTTATTCTCTAAGCGTTTGAAATTATATTTGTAATTGAGTGGAACTTTCATTCTGGCCTGGTTGTGCGTGACAAAGGCCACAGGTGGCTAAAGGAAACCTGCAAAGAAGCTGGTTATTCTCTGAATAAATCACAACAGATCCCAAGAATTTCAGACTCCAAATGGTTTTACAAGGGCAACGAAAAGCCTCCTTCGCCCGTTCATCTCCACATTTGCACCTTAATCCTCAGCACACCTGTCCTACTGCCACCTGATAGTATCTCTTTGCCCTCGGTGGGCTTGTGGACTCTAGAAAATGCACAGAAGAGCATGCAGAACTGAAGTCTGCCCAGGGCTGGTTTCCAGCCAGGATCTTAGGCCAAAGGCCTTGGCGTCTAGGCCTGGACAATATTTCAATAGCAAAAACAATCTTGCCTTCCAAAGCACAACTAACCAACTCTCCCTGGCCTTTCTCCCAAACGTAAGACACTGAGTAGCTGTCCTTATTTCTTCTGCTAGTTTAAGTTAAATCTTTTAAGCAAAGCCAAACATATTTGGGTCCAAAAACAGGAGGAGGTTGGGCTGCAGTCAGACTGATAAGCCACTTGGCACTCATGGTGGGGAGGTGGGTGGGGGAATGGCAAGGGTTTTCCCTAGAAACGGGCCATTATAATAAATCAATGCAGTTCCTTGAAAGCCTCCCTATCTTAAGGCAACTTCTTGGCTTTAAGAGGGGAGCAGTTCTGAGGCTCCCTGGAGCAGAAAAGGATTTTGAAGCCAGAGTCTGTCCTGCTGGGGCTCTTAAGAGCAGGATCTTCTTTCATTTTGCAACCCGAGGGCGGGCGGGTGGTTTTCCTGCCTCTTCTTGCTGTTGATGGAGAAAACAGCTTGCCCTTCCCAAGCAGCCTTCAATAACCTGATGACCTTATGCCCAGCAAGGACTATAATGGGGTGGCTGGGACTGGTCAGGCCTGTTCTCAGGGGTGGGACTGGTTCGGGCAAACCGGTAGTTCCAGAGATTAGTTGGCCCTGCCCACCCGCCCCTGCACTCCTCTGTTTCCCTTGTTTAAAGCCCAGCTGATAGGCAGAGCAGATTGCAGAGCCTCAGCTGTTTTATTCACCGGGGCTGCAGTAGAAGGTAAATTTTAGAGCGCTTTTCGAATGCATTGCACTCGCACACGGCGCGTTTGGGGGGCGCAAGCGTGAAGTGCATGCTCACTAAGCCGGTTTTACATTGGTTGAATCCCACCACTGCCTGTTCTTGAGTGTAACAGTCTCTCCATCCTCAGGTCAAAGGGCAGATCTGCCAGGTGGCTTTTTGTTGTTTCAAACTTTGCTTATTTGTGGACCTTTGACCCTCTTCCTCAGTTTTTCCAGTCGGATACCTCATAGATGAGTTGGGAATAAAATGGCAAACTCCCAGGCTGTCACATCGACACAGCTAATGCACCTTGCAGAATGAACTAGAGTGTTCAGACTGTTTTCAGATGACTTGGCCTTTAAGGTCTTGGGGTCACATCAAATGTAAATAAATAAAAAGTCAGATGGGAACAAACAAAATCTTGTTTTAAATTTAGTTACAACTAAACCAATTGAATATAATTATCTGATGCATATAATTTTCCTCTTTTGTCATATTAAGAATTCAATTTGACATCAGCTTTCGGAAAGGCTTTTGAAGGCAGCCACTTGCACGACTTTGTTGCATTTTGTTTATTCCATCTGAACAGGCTGAATCGGCCAAGGAACTGAGAGGTTTTACAACCGTAAGTCAATATACAACTTCCTTGGCAGGCAGAACCAACTATGCATCCCTCCAATATAGTAACACTGTAGCATTACAATTTTGACAAAGCAATTATCCAAAGAAAGTTTATTGGCAGATATATTCTATTTTGAAACACAGGAAATGAAGGACTAAATGTATTAAATGAGATTTAATTGAACCCCTTTTGAAGGGGTTTATTGGTTCCTGAAGGCTTCCTTGCTGATAACTTATGCTGCTGAAATGTACAGAATACGGGAGACCCTGGACCGTTTGAGACAAATGGCGGTCCAGTCTCTTAAAAACTTCCAGAGATGGAGCACCCACAATTTCTGCAGGGGAGCCCTTCGCTGGTTAATTGTTTTCACTGTCAGGAAATTTCTCTTTCATTCTGGGCTGGATCTCTCTTTAATGGTCAACCACCCGTTACTTCTTGTCTTGATAAATAGTCTGCCTCCTTCATCTTTGTGAGAGCCCCTCAAAGATTGAAACACTGCTGTCACCCCTAATCCCGTTTACCTCCAGCCACCTAATCCTCTTTGTTCTTTTCTGCACTGTTTCTAGAGTCTCAACATCTTTTTTATATTGTGGTGACCAGAAGTGGATGCAGGATTCCAAGTGTGGTCTTTCCAAGCTAGTATTCACATTTCAAGTGACTTTTGATCCCTGTTGATGCAGCCTAGGACTGCATTGGCTTTCTTGACAATTGTGGCACACTGCTGGCTTATTCTTAAGTGGTCATCCACTAGGACTCCAACATCCCTCACCGTTACTGCTGTTGAGCCAGGTTCTACCTACTATATACATGTGCACTTTGTTTTTCTTGCCCAAGTGTAAAATCTTAGTTTTCACACCACTGAACTGCATTTTGTTGGCTAGAGCCCAGTGTTTATGTCTTTCAACATCTTTTTGGACCTTAAGCCTATCTTCTAAAGTGTTGGGTATTCCCCCTCGCTTGGTGTCAAATTTGATGAGCTCCCCTTCTAGTCCCTCATCTAAATCATTTATGAAGATATCGAAGAATACTGGACTTAAGATAAAATCATGAGATGTTCCACTGCATACATCCATACAGAAATAGTTCCACTGAGGTTATGTTAAGTATGATTTGTCAGACAGTTAATCTTGTGGTTCTGTTCATTCCACATTTTCTATCTCATCAAGAAATAGATTGTTGCCTACTTTACCAAATGCCTTACTAAAGTCCAAGCATTTCCAAAGCATTTCGTTGGTCCATTAATTTAGTCACTTTCCCAAAGAATGAAATGAAATGTTTGGCATGATCTGTTTTGACAAACCGATGTTGGCTTCAAGTAATAGCTTTGCTTACTTCTAGCTATTCACAGGTCCATTGCTTGATTACCTTTTCCAGGATCTTCCCAGGTATTGAAATCGGACTGATTGGTCTGTAGTTTCCTGGATCTGTTTTTTCTCTTTTTTTGAAGATGGGAACTACACTAGCATTTTTTCAGTCCTCTGGTTGTTCCCTGGTGCTCCAGGATCTGTGAAATGTATGGTTCAGTGGTTCTGAGATCATGTCTGTCAGCTTCTTCAGAACTCTGGGACGTCATCCATTTGAATTTGTCTAGGATGGATGGGTGCTGTATTAATATTTTCTTGCCTATTTTGACTTGGATTCCTAGTCCACTTTTTAGTTCTACTTTTGATTGGATTACTTTTTTTTCTTTTGTCAGAATTTGATGAAAATAATGAATTAAGCAGTTCCACTTTCTCCCTGCTGTCTTTTGACCCACAGTGTTGGTTTCTGACATCTTCTGTTTTGTATTTGAGTTTCCCCCCTTTGTCTTACCATTTGGTTAGTTGTCCTGCATTTTATGCTTGGAATTAACTTCTACAAGTTTGTCTCCATCCTCTTCCAGTTTTAGTTTAAAACCCTTGGGGTAAGGCAAGTCAGTTGGTTCCCAAAGATATTCTTCCAGATTACTGTGAGGTGTAGCCTGTCCCCTGCTAAAAGCCCTTCATGTAGGTGTTGTAGACCATGAGTTGGTGTTGTAGACCAAAGTTTTCACATCAATACCATCTCTTAAGCCAGGTGTTTACTTCAAAAGTTCTGCCTTCCCTCACTGGATGTTTACGTTTCATTGGGAGCACACAAGAAACCACCACCATTGTCCCTATCGCTTCGACTTTCATGCCTAGGTGCTCCTAGTCTATTGATATTGCCTTTGTTGTATCATTCATCCCCACATGAAAGAGGAGAAAAGGGTAGTAATCTGTGGACAGTTATCTTATAAGCCTCTCAATCGCATCATAGATTTTTGGGTGACAGCAAATTTCCCTAGTTAGATTGATTGGTCTGGTTCAGCTTCCCTGAGCATTGAGTCTCGTATCACCAACATATGCCTATTTTTTCTTAAAGAAGTCTACTTTTTTCTATAATTGCTATAATCAATGATGTCCCTTCTCTAGGTGTTTGCTTGCTTCCAATTATGAAATTGATGTTTAGCTCCAGCAGGCCTGGACTAGACTGAATTGGGGTTTTTTCCTCTTCTATCAGTGACAGGTTTGCCATTTGTCTATCTCTAAAGGTTCGTTTTCTGTGCTAGGTTAATTGTTCCTTACTGTGTTCAATTTGGTTGCAAGCTTCTTCCTTTAATTGGGTTTTCTCATTTTGTTGTTTGAATCTCAAAGTGGCTATAACTGTCTCTAGGTCCATTTCCGTTTTTCTCTAGATCTTTGTTTCAAGTTTTTTTAGTTAGTTTACCTTTTGTAGATATAATTTGGGTTCTCTCTCTCTCTCTCTGTGTGTGTGCGCACACGTGTGTATGAGACACATTTTGCAAATATGTAGATGGCCTCTGGTTATGTGCTGTTTGCCTTTATTCCACTGGCCCACACTTTTCTAGGGTGACCCACCCTTTTAAGTTGGAGCTCTGGAAGAGAGTCGAGATGAAGGGATGAGCTGTTCCAGACCCCAGGAAGGAACAATGCCCCCCCCCCAGTGGAAGAGAAAGGAGAGGGTGGGGGAGGGAATGCTGCAAAGAGCAACAGGAAGCCACAGGAACCCTATGGGGAAGCAAGTAAGCAGGAGAGAAGGGGGAAGGAGCTGGTTCTGAGGAAAAAAGGAGGCCAAAGCAAGCGCTGGGTATGCAGATGATCTAGCCGTGTTCATCTGCATACCCAGATGAAGGCAGAATGGTGGATGCTTTAGCATGTTGGGAGATCCAGACTTCTGTGTGAAGCTGCACCAGATTTCTTTTGCCAGACTGGCTGTGTTTTACAAAGTGTTGTGTGAATTTGGCCACAAGGTGGCCGGATCCTTAATGCTGAGGAACAGTTTTTAGGAACCGTTTCCCCAGTTCTGTGCCATGCTCAGGTTTATTGGGCCACACATTTGGGCAAGCGGCCTTGAGGCCTGGCAGCACCAGGGCATTTAGCAGAATCCAGATTGGCCTGTCAGCCCCAAAAGGCTGAAGGCCCCCCAGGACATGACAGGCCTTTTGAATAAGAAACATATTCAAACCACTTTAAACCTTCAACTTGGTAACAGGCTAGATTGTATGATGAATGGTTGAGGGAGAAAGGTATGTCTAGCCTATCAAACATGATAAGGGTCAGGGGGAGATGATAACTGTCCTCTGGTACCTGAGGGGCTGCCTCAGAGAAGAGGGGATCTCCAAAGCATCTGAGGGCAGGATCAGTAGTGATAGGTGGAACCTTGTTAAAGGGAGATCCAACCTGGGATAAATATACTGACAGTGAGAACAATTAATGGAATAGTTTGTCTCCCGGGGTTTGTGGGGGCTCCGTCACTGGAGGTTTTCAAAAATAGACCTATTTGACTAGGAAGGTATAAGGCTTCTGTTAGTTATTACAAGCACCTTCCTCTATTCAAATAGCATATTTCAAAACCACATTTATCACCAACTCTTGAAAAAAATTAAATGGCTTTTTGCTAAGGAACATTTTTTTACTCCAACGTAGATAGAGGACAAGTAAATGATCTTCTTTCACCAAGAAACTGGCCTCCACCAGACCTTGAAGATATTCATTCCCCCACCCACCCCTCTCTCTCTCTCACACACACACACACACACACACACAGACACAGACTAAGATCGTCCCGACAAGCACTGGTTCACCACCTGGAGCAAGTGCATGTTCTCTAAGGCAGCTGCTACTCTCTCTTTGTCAGCAAGTTGCTTGTTCACTGTGGAAAAACAGTCCAGATATAGTTTTAGTTAGATTGTTGCCCAGCTAAGATATGAGCTCCCCATTTCCCCAACCAGCAAAATTATGTTTACCAACTTATACTTAACATTTGAACAGTACAAATGTGTGCATTTTGCCTCAGAGAGACTCAAATATATGACTCTTATTTTTGCAAAAAAAAAAGATCCAAATAAAGGTAGAACATAAATTAAAACAGATTTATATTAAAGTGTTTGAGATAATTAAATGGGCCTTTCTAAAGAACCAAGAATCTGAAACACCTCTTGGAAATGAATCTGCCCCGTCAGCAGAGGGTGGCGGTTCAAGAGGGGGTGGGGGGAGGAAAAAAAGCACCTTTTTAAGTGGGCAGTAAAGTTTTCATCTGAATTTTCTTTGAAGCACCTTTTCTGCTTTGCATCCAGGTAACTAAGCATCCTCAATGCAACCTTGTCAAGATGCGTGTTGAATATGAAACATAAAAACAAAAGATTACCTGCATGCTCAGAAGCATGTGTCCCGGGTGTTATGTGGACATCCACCTGAAAAGGAGGCAGCAGTTCAAATTATTCAGAGCATTGATGATACCTAGTTTGGTCATGAAATGTCTGCAAAAAAGCAACCGAGCCCAGAGAGCACTACAGAATCCCTCGCTCATCCCTTGCATATTCTCCTGAAAGGGATGCAACAACCCTTTCATTGCAATAACTCCCTTTGTTTTAATTTTTCAGAAAAAAA